TATAGGACTGGATTTAGAAGGGTAGATGATAGACCACAGTAGGAGAGGAGAGGTATATATCTGTTCCTCATAATCCATACTTTTACCTGCTCATTGCCTCTCTGATAGAGTTCAGAAATTTTTTAATCTCCAACAAATAATTTAATCTCCGAAAAATAATATTTACATGGTGAACATAAAATAAAAGGGATAGCATTCTCTACAAGGAATGTCAGTTGTATTGCAAAATTAGTTAGCTTATTAATTAATGAACATAAACCGTAGATCCACTATAACTATATCACTACCCAATTTGTCAAATAAATTGATCGTGCTGTCATATTTAAGTATACTTCAGAAAATTCACTACTTAATAGATCTTACTACCACATTGCATATTTCTTGCAAATTCTCATGTGAGTGATATCTAAATTCTGCAGTTGAAATTCTAAGTATCATTTCACGTGCTGACAGGTGCCAATTATGGGAGAAGGAAATGGAAATGGATGAAATGAAAGAGCATCTCAAAGAACTCGTAGGTTTGTTGCGGCAGAGTGAGACACGAAGAAAGGAAGTTGAGAAGGAACTAAAATTGAGAGAGCAAGCTGTTGCAACTGTATTGGCAACATCAGCCTCGGTGAGAATATTAGTCATTATGTGATAATTCTTCTAATGCTTCTTCTCATGCTCTTCTTAAGCTTGGCTCAAGTATGTGAAGGATTGTTTTTATGTCTTTATTACTTTTAGGCCGACCACCATCAGGGGAACTCACACAATTCACTGAAACACTGTGCTGATGACACGAGTGGTCCCTTGTCCCCAATCTCTGTGCCAGCACAAAAACAGCTGAAATATACAGCAGGAATTGTTAACGGCTCTGTCAGAGAATCAATAGCTTTCATAGATCAGACACGAAAGGTCAATTTCATCCTCCTTTCAATTATAGAATTGGGCCCTGTTTTCTGTTTTCAGCTAAGAAAACTAAGAAAACGGGATTTGCTGTTAGTGCAGATGGTACCCATCGGGCAGTTGCCAACAAAAAAACTAGCAGTTATAGGACAGGCTGGGAAGCTATGGAGGTGGAAGAGGAGTCATCACCAGTGGTTAGTACAATTCAAATGGAAATGGCAGAAGCCTTGGAGACTCTCAGAATGGATTAGGCACAGTGATGAAACAATCATGAGGGCCAAACCTCGTTTACAAGCTCGGTCAAATGTGATGTGATGTTCTGCAGTCACCAGCCTATTGTTGCCCAAATTTCATCTTTGACCTAAGTATCATCCCAACGCATGGCATGGGAAAACAGAGAATCAAGTGCAGGTACCATAAAATTACGATTAAGAATCTCTTATGTATCGAAATAATATCTCCAGTTACACAACTGAAAAAAATGTAGAAATATGTACTTTGTAGCAGTAGGATCTCTGAAGTGTACTTGGCACTTCGAGAATCTCGTAAGTGCCAAGTACATGACTGCGGATCAGTTCGTTCAACAGGACAGCTCAGCACAGTGATTGACCTACTTTGACTTTTAAAATAATGCAGTGTGCTATAAGTAGCTGTTGAGGATCTTTGCTACTGTCATGGATGAGTTTATTTTGGAAAGCATAGGTTTGTTATCGAAAATTTTGCAATGGTTACTGCACTCGGAGTATCTTGTAAAGCTGTGTTGATGCTGCCGATGATATACTGTCTAGCTAGAAGACGACACCGACGGTGCAAAACTGCAAGTGGTGGTATACTGGTGAAAGAAGAAATCGAGCCATCTGATGTTATAGTACATTTCTGTTAATAACAACACAACATGAGAGGAAATCCTTTAAGTTACAGAAATATGTATAAAGGGTTCTGTGCGTTTTTTACTTTTCCAGGACAAATTTGTAACTTTTTGGGCTTAGCCTTTAGAATGTTTATTGTGTGTAAGCACAACATTTGACACCATGTAGCATTTTCTGTTGCATCACAGTTTCGACGAAAGGGAAATTCTTTTGTAGATTCTTTTTTTTCTTTTTTTCTTTGTGCAAGCATTATAGTCATTCTATTGGAAAGATTGCTTCTTATATGCCTATTTGTAATAAAACAAAGGTATTGAATCAAACTTGAGGCTCCTCTGCCATTTTCTTAATTTTCTTTTCCTTTTCATTTATATTCTCGACGCATGTATCATACTTTGGCGGCCTTGATTAGAACACCAGTTATATACAAAACGAAACCAGAAGTTTGCAACATCATCTGCCCAATTTGTTCATTAACTATTTCCTAGTGAAAATGTGTGATTACTACAGGTATATTACATGATTCCAAACTAACCATACAAGGGAACAAATTTTATCAATGTACTCCAATCCAACTGAAACAAGATCTTCATATCCTAAACCAAAATATTCATATGTTCTACTTCCCAAGAGTCAATATCTAACAATGCGGCCATTAGAGAAGCTGGAATCAAGAGCAACTAGAATCTGCATCTAGAGGAGCATCACAGATGCATATCAACAGTGGCACATATCAGATGCATCTAGAGGAGCATCGCAGAAGAGGGCTTATATTCCCTCCATGCATGTGCACATTAAGTTTGGCCACACCAGTATGCATAGTGCTCTTCTTTGCGATGATTACTAACAAGACCTCCACACTGTAAACAAATGAAGCTACTCCCATCTGAAAATGCATCCAGTACAATCTGCATCCTGCCACTTTCCGCCAGTATAGAAGTTCCTTGAGCATCAGGTCCAAGTCCAACTGATGGGCCACCCTCGTCACCTGCTGCTGGTTCAGTTTTGGAAGGATGGGCTTCAGCAATTGCACACTCAGCAAACAAAGAAGCTAGTTGATCAACAGCAGAGCTTTCTTGCAATCTATTTCTGTACAGCTCACGAGCACGATGTAAGGACTCAAATACAGCCTCATCCCCACCTCTCGTTCTCATTGCCATAACAACCTGTTCCAAATACTAAATTAGTATGTGATGAAGGTTCTCCATGGACAGGTTCCTCTTGATTCTTAAGGCCTCCAACAACGTACATATGTCATCTCCTCAAAGCAGCTCAATGCTTTATTATGAATGCAGGAGTGTCTCCATATAGGCACACAACAAAAGTACCCAAGGATCGCATCTGGACAGGGCTTTACCAGACCAAAGCCCCACGCAAGATTAGATGAATAAGCAAATTATAACCCTAAACTCTCAGGAGAACCTTCGGAGAGCGCCAAGCACCTTAGAGGGGTTTTGGACCAAAGATTGAGCTTCTTAGAAAAAAAAGTTCAATTTCACAGTTTGTTTTCATCAGTAAAAAGTGTTCAAATTGCTGCTTAATCAATTTACACTAAAAGCTCCAATCGAAATGCATGACTACAAATGCAACATTAAATTTAGGGTTCGCCTCACATTTGGGAATTGGGATGACAACCCCCCAAACTCCATAACTTTCCTAGTTTCCAACACTACCATTTTGCCAGTTGTTCAGTACTACAGGGATGGATGGTTAGGCACTGGAAATAATAAGTAAGATAATTCTCTTTTCCTATCCAACCATTTAAGGCAGCCACTAGTGTTGAGCTTCGAAAATCCAATAGGAAGAACCAATGTTGTCAACAACTAGTCACTTTTGGCAAAACAGTACAAACCCTAAGAAGACCAACCAAAAGAAAGAGATTCTTTTTCAATAAAGAGTAGCACTTCAGTGATTTGAGATGCTAAAAACTCACAAAATTAAAAATTAAATCAATGCCATTCAATTTCTATGGACAATACAAATCAAACCGAAGAAAAATTGAAGGTGATGAAGGAGAAAATAACAACTTGATGAAGTTAAAGATTACCGCTTGGAGGGCCTGCGATGGCTTGCCTTGATTGAGGAGCTGGCGAGCCAATGCGAGAAAGTCCCTTAAGACGTCGCCTTGGCCTGCGTCGGACGGCAGCTCCGTCTGCCCATTCGCCGTCGTCTCCATCTCCATCATCTCCGTGTCCGTACGGTCCATGTTCATGTTGGCATTCTCTGTTCTCTGAATAATATTTGTACGCCGATTGCAGATTTTCTTGTTGATATAAAAAAAAATGAAGAGCTTCTGAAAACTGGACGATTCTAGCAAATTCTTCAAGTTACGGTAGGCTTCATCGCCATCTCTCAGTGATTGATGTTTTGATGCTATGGGCTTTCAGTTCAGCTCATTCTTTTCCAGGCCTCTTTACATTTTGGGCTTCTTTCCTTGGATGACCCATATAACAGCTTCCAGTCCAGTACACATTTTTCAACAAGCATGTAGATTAAGGGCCAGTTTGACATTGTTGTGTTGTGAAAATAATCGCTGTCAGATAAGCAATGCCAAACATGCACTAAGTTTTCTTTATTTGAATTATTCCTTTTTCATTATATATAATGCTAGCAATATCGCGGAAAGAATGGAATTAAACAAGGTGTAAAAGATGGGAATCGAACACATGATTTCGGATGCACGAAGGACATTCTAAACCACTCAGATTACAAGCCAATTACGAAACACAGTCATGTACTGCATTCATGTACACATAACTTCAACAATTGAATTTATAACTTGATAGGCTCCTTATCATTTAGTTTATAAATTACAAGAAGCAATCATATGCATATGCCCATTCCTTGTGGCTTCAGTTTATATGCATTTTATTTCCTTAGTTTATGAAATCTAACTTCCTAGACACACCTAAAACTGAGGAGCAAGCTGAGTTCCAAAAGCAGTTGTCATGTTTTTAATTTATTTAAAAAAAGTCCTCAAATTACAATGAAACGCTACAAATACATACCACTCAAATTGGGTAAGCACAAAAGTGTGCAATATCTTATCAGTTAGGGCATTTTTCTTGCAGACAAAAGCTGAATGAGAAGAATGGTCCTTACCAGACTGACCACATATACATATACAATGCAGCAAAAACAAATGGGCAAGGAGAAACACGTGCCCTCATCCACCATGCATATGAAAGGTAAAGATCACAAACAATGCTGCAGAAAAAAGTAAGAATTAATAATATAGCTAGCATGTGTGCTCCATCTCTTTTCTTTTCTATAAAATAATTAATTAATACTCCTAGTTTGGTACAGCGGTAACCCTAACTAGCTAGGGCACACCAGTCACAATCTGGGGGTCCATTAATTCATTGTCATCTTCCATGGATGCACTCTCTTTAATCTCCTGTAACATCTTCAACACCTGCCACATTGTTGGCCTCTGCTCAGGCGATGTTGAGCTACAAGCTATGGCCACCTCTACCAGCATCCCCATCCTGCTATTGCCTTCCCCATCTTGATCATGCTGATCATCTTCCCTCATGGACATGACCCATTCCACCATGTCAGTGGGCACCAAAACTAGGTGATGTGATGGAGGCTTCCCTGTGACAAGCTCCACCAACAAAATCCCAAATGCATAGACATCAGACTTGGAAGTTGGTTGGTGCTTTTGTTGATGATCATCGTGATCGTTCAATGAGTTTATGCGAATCTCGGGGGCTTTGTAAGCAGTAGAATCTGGCTCCTCCTCGGATGTTGGGGTGGTGGTGGCAAGAACAGAGAGGCAGTAGTCGGTGAGACATGCCTCGAAGTCAGGGCCAAGGAGGACATTGGAGGACTTGAGATTGCCGTGGACAAGCCTCCATGCTTGGTGAATGTAGGAGAGGCCTTGTGCTACGTCCTCTGCTATTTTCAAGCATGATGTCCAGTGCAGCGGCTTTGCCCTTGTGGATTTTGTTCCTGCAGTTCAATTTTGGACGTGCCCATGTAGCACATTCATTATAAGGAACTTAATTTTAGGATGCTAATTAGCAATAACTTGGAAATGGATGTGATGTATGCCAATCCCTCCCTCTGAAAAACACCACTGACAATTTGAATGTAGAAATTACCCTACTCAAACAAAGAAAACATAGTCAACGGACGATTTTTTTAAGTGTGGCAGGACAAAGAAAACAAAATTTATCGAATCAAAGAGTGTTGATGACATAGATTGAGGGGTTAGTGGACTGAAAATATAAACAAAAGGCCAGTCAGATCAAATTAAGCAGTCAGTTTTTCCTTATCATATATATATGGAATCACGGGAACCAGCCAAGAGGGGATAGAAAAAGAATGAGAAAATCCAAAATCTGTCAGTTTTTTTATGAAGAAAAGGTTAAGCAAGTGATGTGAATTGGGCAAGCAAGCCAACAATATGGTCAATATATTATTATTCATGTCAATTCCCAACGACGTCGTCGTCGTCTTAATCAAAAGCAAAGATTCTCGGCGTTGATTGAGAAAAAGGTACCTCAAGAAACAACCAAATCTAATGCCATCACCACAATGTCCTAATAAATCCAATTCCCCTAATGATAACCCAAAAAGCTTACGTGTCCATTTCCTATTGGGTTTCCCAAATTCTTTTACTTCACAAAATAGTCAAAGCATCAAACATTGGTCAAACTCAAACTGAGTTAACACAACCGAGTAAGCAAAATGAAGATTGAAGCAGAGCAAAACAGAGCATTTACCGTGAATGAGTGAGAAGAGGCTGCCATTGGGCTGATAATCGTAGACGAGGAGCCGCTCATCCTTGGCCTGAAAATAAGCTCTGAGAGGAACCAAGTTGGGATGTCTAAGCCCACCCACCGCCTCCATGTGCCTCTCGAACACCTCTCTGCTAGTCCCGCCCAACTTCCCGGCATCCAGCCTCTTCACGCTCACAATCAGACGGTTGTCCAGCACCGCCTTGTACGTCGTCCCAATGGTGCCTTTCCCCAACAGCTCCGCCGAGGCCCTCATCAGTTGGTCCAGCGAGTACAGCTGCGACTCGCCGGCGCAGAACATTAAGCTCCCGCTCTTCACCACTTGAATCCCCTGTACCCTCTTCACCTTCTGCTCCAACTCCTCCTCTAGTTGCACCACTACCGCCGCATGTGCATCGGAGCCTGTCGGACTCGCAATGTCGGTCCTCCGGTGGGTTTTAGGTTTCCTCTGTTTCTTCAAAGCTAGTACGAAGAAGAGAAGAGAACAGATCAAGACGAAGACGCCTGAAGAGAACCCAATAATGACGGCGGTTCTTCTGTGCCTTTTTCGACTCGGCTGAGTCAACTCAACGCCCTGGACTTCCTGTGCAGTGCTCTGCCCGAGTGCTCTTGTGGGAGGTGGAGCTTCATGAGCTTGGGTTGGACCGAAAAACGGCGCAGCTGGGTGGCATTCTTTGTTTACAAGCTCGCCGCAGAGACCTGGGTTCCATGAAAACGCCGTCGGCCCGAAGCGTAGAAGGGTCGGAGTAACGGGGATTACCCCGGTGAGGTTGTTTCCGGAGACATTGAAGGTTCGGAGAGAGGACTGGTTCAGAGCCGGGACCGGTCCGGTGAACCGGTTCCAGTCGAGCCGGAGATAGTAGAGCCGGTCTAGACCGGTGATGAGAAAGGCGGGTAATGGACCGGTGAGGTTGTTGAAGGAGAAGTCGAGGGTTCGGAGGCGGTGGAGGGACGAGAGCGAAGGCGGAAGAGAACCCGCGAAGGAGTTGCGGTCGAGGAAGAGGGTTTTGAGGTTGGTGAGGCCGGAGAGGTCGGGAATGGATCCAGTGAGTGAGTTGTTCTGCAGACTCAGGACTCTGAGTTGGTCTAAGCGAGTCAGGGTGTTTGGTGCGAAAATGCCACCGAGATTCTGAGATTGGATTATGAGGCGGACTATTTTGGACTGGGCGCATTGGACACCTGTCGAGCGGCAGAGCTGGAGGGTGGTGGTGTTTGACGAGAAGGGAAGAGCGTTGTGTAAATCTGCTTTGGATTTGAATGCAAGGAGAGCAACAACATCATCGTCTGAGACAGAGGGTGATTGAGTGAGTGCAGGCCTGGAAGAAGAAACTGTGGAGGCACAGAGTGAGAGCAGAACAATGGTTGACAAAAGAAGGGGTTGCCATTTCTTGAGCATTGTTGAACTGAAGAAACAGAAGGTGCTCTGTTTTGTGTTTTACAGAGAACATAAAAATATGAGAAGAAAGAAGAGCAAGGAATTGCAGAAGGTGACAAAAAGATGTAAGAGGAGCGCAGGGGTAGCAGTTGTCGGACTGGAAAGCTCAGAATCACGTGAAAGTAAGTTCCCAAGGACAGGAGGAGACGGGCCAAGGAGGGGGTAAATTGAGGGTGCAACGTGGAATTGAAATAATTATAATATTCATACGGGGCCGCACACAACAACATTATAACATATATATAATTTTGTCATTTTGATTTTCTGACAAGAAAACTGTTGTATATGATTAAGTTTATTTCAGGAAATTAAGAATGAATTTCCACATACTCTTATGCGTTTTAAAAAGCATGAATATGTATCCACAAGTTGTGGTGTGGTTGGCAAACTGTCACATTCAGTTGGCGAGTTACTTTGTATCTCAATGACAGGGGTTTGAGACTCGTTGAAAGCACTTTGTGGTCAAGAACAACCCGAATCTCGAGCAGCGATTAATTTCATCCTTGAAGTGTGAGGACACCTTTTGATATTTACCCAAAAAAAAAAAGCAAGAATATATCAAAATGTGTGTCGGTCAAACAAGAAAAACCCTACGCCTAAGAGGAGATCTAATCATCTGAACATTTACAGTTACAGAAAGTTTTCGATCTCATAAATTCATGAAACCCTAATATGTACGTTTTTTTATTTTTTATTTTTGCTTTTGATTTCATTTCCGACAAATTTTGCTATTAAAAACTAGCTGTACTCATGACTGTTCGAGAAGAAAAAGTTGGTTGGAAGAACATGAAGGAACCGGAGCTTAAGAAGGGAGGAAAAGAAAAGAAACAGAGACACAATAAAAGTTAAGAATTCGGAATCTAAGTAAACACCAGATGCATATGTAATTTATAAAAAAATAATATTATGAACATTTCTTGTCTGGCGGGGAAGACAAAAAGAAAAAATCCCAAGGGGAAAAGGCTCTTGTTGATGCACGGTTATGGGCTGTTTGATTTGATTTGCCGTAACCTATAAGTCTAGTGCTTTTTCAAAGATGAATTCTTACCTTGTCGCTTGACAATGCCATGTGATTTTAAAGTCCGTGAATTGGATGGTTGCTTTTTTCACTCATATTCCACATTCTAGTATTTTGGGTTAACAAGATGCAGAAGAAAATGGTAAAGTTTACAAATTTGAAAGAGGAATGTCTTGAAATGACTCGCTTTATTCGAATTAAAATGCATATGTTCAATTTGTTTTTTAGTACAAGTGATTATCTAAACTACAAGATAGAGGGGAGTTTCTTAAACACATACTGTGAATGTGTCGTGGGAGTTCAAACTTGAGATCACCAATTTGCAAGTAAAGACATTTTTCCATTGAACTAGACCCCGTTGGCATGTTTAATCTTTTATCCGACTCTATAAATACAAGTGCTCAATTATATAAATACATATGTTCGACTCTCTTTTTTGGTCCCAAGATAATGGAACATGAAAAAAGATTAGAATTGTAGAGTTTTCAAATCAAATGTAGAAGTTTTGAATACATATAATTGATGAAAAGGAAAACGCAAAAATCAATACTTATAATAATGGGGGCCGTGCAATAATCCAATCCATAACACCCTAAACAGGCCCAGACATATTCATAGATTATGGATAGCAGTTCAAAAACTTAGAAGGACTACAAATTCGGGCCTACTTAACATGTGCAAGAAATAAATCCGGTTGGGTCTCCCCTCTGACCCATAGCCAAGAATTTTATTTTAGAAATTTAGAATTTCTGCCACCCTTATCCCCCACGACCGTTTTGAGTGCTCCTTACCTTTCTGAGTTTCTAGCGACACCTGATAAAAAAAGAGATTCTCAGTTCCATACTGGTTTCAAAGCACTTCCAAATTTGCATCATCCTGAGCCTCATCTTAGAAGCGTTGGGATATTTTTAAAAGTAAAATTCAACGATAGCAATGAGCCAAGTGATGGCGAAGTTGGATAGCTGACCCAACGTGAGATATGTCCGAAGGCCAATCAGAGTGTGTGAATGATCATCCACTTGCTATACGCAGTGCAGCTCTCCATTAACAAATGATTAGTATAAAAGTGGCCAATGGCAAGGCTGTCTTGATATATTATTGTAAATGCTTAATCAGTTTTAAAATTTCATGAGATATATGAGTTCAATGAATCGTCTGCCTTACCTCACTCAACTAGAGGACATCTCTTACCTACCAGCACTTAGCTCAAAAAAAAAAAAGGAAAAAAAGGAAAAAAAAGAGGGGTTCCCTGAGAAAGTGACATTGCTCAGGCCTTGCAAGGTTCTTCTGGAACTGCAACAGAGAAAGGTACCCTGTTTTGTCTCTGTTTGGACAGATTTTGGGACCATGGTTTTAAAAAAAAAGCACCTTTTCTTCTCTGGCATTTATGATTCCCACCATAGATGGTTAGGTTACTTTTCACCTAGCTAGTATTCTGTTGTTTGTTTTCCATACACACACATGTGACTATATGACTTAAATCTCCGATTTCTTATTCAGTTGTTAATTCACAGCAGACCATGTCTGAATTAGCTGATGATGTTAATGCAAATTCATTCTCCATGGAATGACTGAAGAGTTTATGATTGCATATCTAGGAAACATCTCATTCTCATATTACAAGTAAAAGAATTACTGACCATGCATACAAAGTCTTATGAAAATTCCATATTACAATTAAAAAATTCAAACCCTTGTCTTGGAGATGAGCAAAGGAGGTCAAGGTGGGAGAGCCACTTGAGGAGGTAAAGGAGCAGAGGAACCAAAATGAGGAAACTTACAGGGAATGTAAGTATAAGATCCCATGTAGGGACAGAACCTTGGGTGTGCAAAGAAATCTGCACATTCTTCAATTGATTTTTGGAATGGAAGATCAGGAATGCAGTTGTTCCTAACATCAAGCACTCCTCTACCAATCAACATTCTACAAAGAGGTCCAACATTTGTGAAATAATTATCAGACAATGACAAGTTTACCAAATTCTGCAGCCCACAGACCACCTCTGGCACCATGCCATACAACAAATTACCAGCAAAGTTGAGCTGCTCCACATTCTCCAGGCAAGCCAGAGAGAATGGCAAAGGGCCAGTCAATTGGTTATTGCTTGCATCAAACACTATGGCCTCCTTTAGTAACCCAATCTCATAAGGCAGACAACCTGTTAACTGGTTATTTAGGAGCAGAACTTCAGTCAGAGCAGAAAACGCTTTGGAAATGCCTGGTGGAATTGGGCCCATGAACTTGTTGTTTGCTAAGGTGAGAAGAAGAATATGAGAGCTACCCAAATTATCAGGAAGCTTCTGCATGAAATTGTTGTTGTTAATGAAGAGGGCATCAAGGTCCTGAGTGAATATCTGAGGTGGAACTGACCCAGTGAAAAAATTGAACCTTATGTCCAAGAAAGTGAGGCTGCTCATCCCAAGAACAACACTGGGAAAAGGACCAGAGAATTGGTTGTTACTTAGGTCAAGCTCATAGAGATAGGGGAGCTTGGCAATGTTGGCAGAGATGGTGCCTGAAAAATTGTTGGAATTTGCATGGAAGAGGGCAATATCAGGGAGTTGGTCAAGAAACCCATCAAGTGAAGAAGCACCAAGTTGAAAACCATTGAAGTCAATGGAGGCCAGGGCAATTGCAGAGCTGTTGTTTGGGGGGTTGTCACAATAGAAGCCTCTGTAGCTGCAAATATTGGAGCCTACCCAAGTTTTGGTGATGCCTAGAGGATCTGAGGTGATGGTGGACTTGAATTTTTGGATAATTGGGTACACTAGTTCAAGCTTTTGATCTGCAAACACAGGTTCTTCTGTGTTTGGTAAATCTGGAGGTGCTTGTGGTGGGCTTATTTGCTTTCTATGGCTTCTATCTTTGCTGCCTCCCCTATGGTGGCCACCTAAAACAAGCTTGAGGGTTTCTTTGTGGGTATGGTCTGTCACAGAGTAGGCAATACTGAGACAGGTTAGTAGAAAAAAGAAGGTTGAGATTGAAACTAAAGCTCTGGTGGCAGCAGAGGTTCTCATTCTTGCCTGTGATGAACTGTATTTGCTTGTTTTCAGAGGTTTTTCCAGAGCAAAACAAAAGGTGGCAAAGGAGAGCACATAGAAGAAGGCACTCATTGCAAGGGTTTTATGCTCAATCATGAACACTTTTTTTTTCATAACTAATAATTTAACCTAATTTTTATTATATTATGAAAACTGGATAAGATGCAAAAGTTACTTATGAGGTGCTCTATGAAGCACTAATTCAATACTCGAGACTTGTTTTACTCTCAAAGTCAAAAACTTTCTAATATTCATAAGATAACTCTGGCCTTCTTTATCAAAGTCTATCCTTTTAACGTTAAGTATTTAAAATGAAAACAGTTGAGCAATACAAACATGAAACATAGCATGGATCTTCCCGGACCCTCAATCCACTGCTGTCAAAAGAAATAGAATAAAGGCAAGGCTTTTTATCACAAAACGTCTTTGACCTTTGCGAAACTATCAGATTGCATCCTTAAAGGTTTTTTGTATCACTCATGGTCCCTAACGTTAATATAGGTGCTCTTAAATAGTCCATCTGTCAAAAAATCTGTTAAATCTAGGGATATAATCATCAAATCAATCCAAAATTATAATTTTTTTTTTTAAAATTTCCTTCCCTTCTCTCTTTCTTTTCTTCTTCTTCTTCTTTCTCTCCGCCAGATTCCTTATCTCTTTCTCTCTCTGTTTCTCTTTTTTTCCCCCTAACCTCTGTCACTCTCTCCTTTTTCTTCTTTCCTAGCAAGGTGGAAGAAAACAAGCACTTTTTGTCTGACGTGAGAAATCCAATATGGATTCTCATATCAGAAATTTATCGATCAAACAACTGGATGACATAAAATCCAACTTTGTTATTTTCGATTTTTATTATGTGTGGCTGCAGCTCAAAATGAAAAAGACCAAATTGTGAGAAATCTTGGGTTTTGAGGTATAGGAATGGATCAGTTTATGGTGGTGTGAAGAAGAGGCACGACGCACCAAAAAAGAGAGAAATTTCGTTTCTGAAACTGGTTTCTCTCGGCCATGGCAGATAAGCTTTGTTTGATGGCTTCTCATGGCTACCCTCACGGCCTTGTTTTACAGCAATAGCAGGGCATGGGTATTATCAAGGTAAAGTAAAGGTTTTGAAGCTTTAGCTTATTGGTTTTCATTGGTTTGATATT